ATCTAAGTGTTTTCCGAGTTAGCATACCCTTAGATGCGCACACATTAAGATAATGTTTGTACTCACCATGAAGTAGGCAAATCAGCAAACTTAGGGAATCATTGAGGGTACGATTCGAAAAAATGTTGACATTAAAAATCCAAAATGTTTCAATGAGGAGAAGTTGCGTGGAGCCTTCGGGCAGTCGCTGCGTTTTCGCGCCGTACTGCATTTGAATGGCTGGTGAGTATCGATTTTTCGCAAGTAGCGCAGGCTCAAGTGAGCGCCAAATTCGAAATTTTTGGCGTGGGCATGCTAGGCCTGGCGCTCAGGTTGATAGAAAATTCCCATCTTTCGGCCGTTACCACATCAGTTCATTGCGATTTGGGAAGAGCCGTCAAATACCGCATAAATGTGTAATACGGGTTTGTTGGTAATACGTTTTGTAAAGTTGGGCATGAGACATAAAGAAAAAAGTGACTAGAGATACAGGGTGTATAAAGTACAAAGAGGAGGGAAAATTATTTCATTTTCGTACTGTTTCGCAATAAAAATGTGCCGTCACTAGTGAGAAATACAATCAATAGTAAACAAGAATTCCGAAAAATTTGGAATTACATAAAGGTCCGGAGCTGTCAAAGTGTGCAGCCGAACGCAAGCAACTGCTAATATTTCCGGCTTAATTTAGGTATAATAAAAAACTGAATGTTACTTATTAATCCAACCCTGAACTTAGACCAAAGTAAACTATCTAATACAAGGTATACTAAGTAAGTTGGGTTAAGTTTACTCAAAATAAATCTAAAATAAAATACATTAAACAGTATGAGTTTCCGAAAAAATTACGATTAACAGGAAAATAAAATAAATTAGAAGTAAATTAATCAAACTAAACAAACTACATTCAGATAAACCGATGTAGTAAAGGCTTTTTTGGGGGGCATGTTTTATGTGGATGTACGGCATCAGCTGGAAGACAGTCAATACTAAATTGGTAAAAACAGACACGCCTAGTATTATGAAATAAGTCGAGAGTTGTGCGAAATAAACGTTCTGATCAGTAAACGCGACTGTTACCCAAATGTGAATTGTGGGCAGAAATATGCAGAAAGAGACGCTCTTCCTTCATGGAATTGTAGGCAAGTTAAGCAGACTTAGGCATTTGGAAGGCTTGCTGTCGGCAGTGCCTCCGAGTTTCAAGTTGGGAATGCAGAAGGAGCTTAAAAGGTGGGAAGTAGTAGCTGTTTTTCATGCGGAGGAAAGACATTTGAATGCGAGGACAAAGCGCTTCTACTACTCCGGTGTCAGCTGGTTTACTGTAGGATAGGTTGTGAACCTTGGTCATGGATCAGTTAAGTGGAGGTATGATTACTGCCATTTGTACGGATAGAATGAGTGTCGCTGGAATGTTAGGGCAGTATGCGATCACCACTGGCGTCAGCGTTGGCCACGGATGTGAAAACGTTTGTATAAGCGTGTTCTGACATCACAGCGCTAGATTGCCTATCCGTATGGCGAGACGTATGCCTGCTTCCTCTGGCACTTCCAGTTGTATATCGGGAGTTGTTGAACGTTAAGTCAATGCGAACAGGAATACCTTACGCATTAACGTATACAACTGGAACCACATATGTGTACGAAGAACATCGGCACTTTCAGATTAACGAGTCCGTCGTAAAATTCCGTCGGGCCTCATGTCCAGGTCTGTGGATCCGACCGTAATGCGCTATATCGCGAGTTATTTATTCGAAAATATTGTCAGCTTATTTGAGTTTGTACATTTATGAGCATTACAAACAGGAGCCAGATGCAGGGCAAAAATCTGAGAAGGAGTAAGCGTCGTCTATTGCATCATCATTGTCTCCAAAGATTTCCGGCTCATGATGAACATTTATACTCCAGCCCATCTCTAGAAATCTTCTAATCGTTTATCTAAGCATTTCTTTTCAATTGCCTATTCCTTCAACATTTTAAAGCTCGTGGCATCAGTTGCGCTAAAAAGGAGTATCTCATTCTCTTGCAATTTCTGGAACCTTTCGCAATGTGTATTTGCCGTGGTTAATAAGTGCTAACACAATCAACACAATTCGCAGTCGACAAACGAAACGCCATTGAGTTCTGATCTAATTTGTAGCCAAACAAAAATAAGTTTGAAAAACAGTCTTTGTGTACTATGCATCCATAGCAAACCCTTCGCTGGACTAAGTAAACTTATAATGGGATGAAAGTCACCATCAATGAATACGCGGAGTTGAGGTCTTAATCGTTACATTGGCAGTGTCAACTGATACCATATTTTGTTGCATTCTCCCTGATGAGTGCTAAGAAAAACGAAAATGTGATAAACTTGATCCGCTGCTATCTACAGTGGTGAAAGTTAATTAGTCCACACATGAGCCCACGCATGTATGGGCAGATCTTGTAAACATCACTGCTTATTCGTCCCGAAATCACCTAGCATATTTGCTTTGGGTTTTGCGTAGGCTGTCTAAAAGTTCAGAGGTTTTTTTTAGATGGACATGTGTGTTAGACGCAAGTACGTAAGAGTAAACGGTGGACCTCGTTGTTGTAAGACCCACACAGTGTGACTGGCTAGTTAAGCTGAAGTTCGACTGTCCAATACAGCCCACGCGACAACACAGTTTACATGTGAAGAGGCATTCGGTATGAACGGTTGAGGGCATGCACATTCCACATGGATGGTTGATGCATAATATGTTCAATTTCAAACCACCTCAAAATTAGCACCCACATTGAAAGAAAGTGAAAGGATGGCTGTAGGTGGTGTGCGACTGGTTACGAAAAACGTTTTTTGTAGGTAGTTTCGAACAAAGTGCGCAAAACATTCCTGTGGTATGTGCACAATCTGCACCGTGGTAGGGTGTCGTCGAATGAGCCGAAACTTGATAATTGGCATCATTTCGCCGCACTGTTGCCGTGTGTTCGGCAATTCGCGTTTTGAGAAGTCTGCCAGTTTCACCGACGTAGTTACTTTGCCCGCAACAGCACCAGATCCTGTAGACAACTGCAGATGTTTTTGCCGCGGTAGTGGGTCTTTTGGTTTAAGTACGTAATGTTTTATGGCCTACGACATGACTTCGGACATGCCCCAATCCCACAGCCCCCCGAATTTCTGTTTAAGGACGTACTTCACATTTGACGGAACAATCTGCGAGCTGGTGAAGGGGACACCAAATGATTCACCGATTTCGGGACTCGAAAGGTCAGGCAAATAAAAGTATAGTCCCAGTGATCTAGTCGTCTTCTTCTCTTCTTAATTCTGTTATATAGTGTTGCTACTGCATGTGGTAATCTAAGGTCACTTAAGAATGAGGAGATAAAATTTACGACCAAAGGGGGGATGCGTATGGGCTCATTGCCGAAACCGGTTTGCGGAGGCTCTTGTGACTAGTCTTCACCTCCTAATCCCTGACGTTCTGGGCCATATATGTTGAGTCAAAACTCATCGCAATCATTATAGACTCTTTAGACCATCCTTTAACTGCGGTTTCCGTATATACGGTTAACCGTGGAATCGGAAGTCAATTCTAAATTGCCCGTCCTCGACGTGGCAGTCGTAAGCCTACGCTTAAGATATGACCACTCCCTCGTTTACAAATGCAGTTGCGTCAGAACCAATGCGTCAAACAAAGCGCTTACACATATTAAAGTGGTGACAATGATAGTAAAGATAGGATGAAATAATCACATGCCCTTTTTCAAGCATCTTTTCCCAGGTATAAATTTGAAGATTGTGTATGTAGCAGAATTTAATGGAACCATAAAATTCGCGATCGTTCATCAGCTGCATCCACTCGCTGCATTAACTCAGTAACGAATGAGAAATTACAGAATTGAATTCATACAGAAAAATCGAT